TAACGATCGTTAGTGGCACAATGGACATTTTGACACCTAACAGTGGCAAGCTCTATGAGAGGTACGAAAACAATTTTCTGAAGCTCTTATGCCAAATATCAGTGGCAGATAATACTTTTTGGCATCCGACATCGATAAGCTCCACAAGAGGTGAGAAAACAATCATTTATTGTCCCCCACAAAAATACAAACACCTTACCACGATAAACTATGTAAGAGGAGTCGAGACATGTCTAACGCACATACATATACATCCATACTCTAGCCAACAATTTACAACATGCAGTAGATTACTCAAACTTAGACGGTCGTGAGATAAAAGAAAGAAATCTCGGGGAACAAAGCCTCTAGCTTTGAAGTTTCTTATATTATGAAATTGGTTTACAAAATATGAATATTGGTTTTCCTTACAAACGCAAGCAAACAACAAAACAAAAAGGAACAAAAATAAATCACCTTAACCCTGGACATTTGAAGATTCACTAACACCTTCCTCCATAACTTCCTCTGCTCCCTCAGCATGGGCAAACCTTCCATTGAATTGAGTTTGTTTGTCCTCAGGATCCTAGAGGAGCATACCAAACTCCTCCATCTCCTTCCAGTTAGGATCAACCAATTTATGCTTCATGAACCACTCTATGGCAAGGGAAATGTCGACCATAATCTGATGGGAGAGACCCTCGACGTGCTCCTCTCGAGTAATCATCAAAGACATTTTCTTTTCAACTCTTTATTTTCCTTTACGAGAGCCACCACCTAGGTCTCTTCCTTCTAAGCCTCCAGCTTCCTCTCCTTCACAGATAGTTTCATAATCCCTTCAGTCATAGAAGCTCTCCATTTTTACTTTTGAGCTTACAGGCTAGACCTCCCAATTTGTTCCTCAGCCCTGTTCAAGAGAATCCCCTAAAAATTGGTGGATTTCCATGTGTGGGCATGATAGCGATTAGCCGACTGAGCCATGCCCTATTGTCCATTGACCTCAATGTCTTCTTGAAGGCAAGGGACCAAAACATCTCTACCAAGGAAGATGGATAGTCTTCATTCAAAGTGATGTTAGGGAACCACTCCTTCTCCCTTTCAATAAGGGCATAGTGGCTGCTAGACCCCTCGGTCATGTGTGAAGGACCACTCTGGCAAAATTTCCCCTTCTTTTGGAGGAGGTAGCTCTATCGCTTAATTGGGAGCTTTTGCCTCCATTCAGGAAACCTCTCACCACTCTTGCAGTAGTCTCTGGATCTCCCTCAGACTCGGTCCAGATTGTGATAGGGTGAGACGAGTGATTCACCTCTGCTCATTTGTACAAACCCACAAACGATGTCCCACCATAAGTCATAACTAAAACTCTAACCAATGGACGAACTAGTGAATCTTCTGAATCATGAGCACTGAGGATCTGAGAAGCATCTTCCTTGCTCCCCTCAAAAGAATCTAATGGAAATCACATTAGTATTATACATCCAAGTATAAAAGTAATAACAAGCGTGAATTAAATTTAACACTTCTTGCATATCCTTCTGTTGATTTTGGCTATTTGGGTCGACCCCAACCCCTGTCAGATGGAGGAAGACCTCTTTTTCCTCGTAGTTTCTTTGAAGTTTCCCATTCCTCGATAGCTTTCTCCCAGATCACCTCCCAATTATCAGATGAGATCCATAGTCCTTTAGTCATTGTCTCGGTGTTGTCTAGAAGGATCACACGCTCAATCATATTCGGATCAAGGTATTGGAATGGCAAGAGGCGTTGACCCTCTATCAGGGCACCGTACTCTCGAAGGTTCCTTGGCAAAGCTCTCACTTTCCTTAACTCACACTCCACTGAATAAGTGTGGATCTTCTAGCTACTAGCACAAGAACCAACCAAAAATTTTGTTTTTCAGTCCTTAACTTTATTTTCAAGACTCAACAAATGGATCTTAGGACCAGCGGCGAACTGAATGTATCCATCTCAACCAATTTTGAATGAAAAGAAATGGTTGAATAGTTTGATCGACTAAGGAACTTCATCCTTCGACAGAAGTGAATGAAGGTCATCACATCAACCACTAAATTTGGGAGAACCTAACCAAGGACAACACCGTACTAGTTGAAAATGGAATGCATCTCCCTACAAAACGGCAATCGAAGACCCATCTTGAACAAAACTTTGTTAAAAAAAAAACAAGTCAAGAGAAAAGTAGTTCGTAGCTCACTCATGGCTGGTGGTCAACCGAACATGGAGATCTTGAATCTCTTTTACAGTCGTTACAGAGAACGAAAATTTTTGAAGCAAGAATCAAATTGTATGATTCCTATGAGAATTGTTATGTCATATAACCTGAGGTATTGCACCAATAGAAAAAAAAGGTAAAAAGATGAAAGTAGGGGAGCACAAAAGAAATTAAAAAAGGATTAAATTTCCTAACTATTGCATGCCTGCATATATATGTGGGGTCAAGAGATGGGAAGAAGGAACGTCATAGACAAGGCAGAGACATGATGGGATCACGCACTACTAGAGGCAAAGTAATCATTACCAATAATAGAAAATTAAATTTCACTTATTTAATTCCAAAAGAGAGTACATCACATAAAATCCACAAAAAGTAACTAAGAAAGAAAAAACCTAACCAAATGATCATTTAAGGCTTCACCTGAGACAAACCTAAAGCAACCTCTCATACCTGAATTCACCACCTAATTTCAAAAGATCATTCTGACTATCCATCGACTGAATGGAAAGACCATTTCTAACAGTCGATTGCTCTAAACATAAGCAATCATCTCCCCCTTAGCAGCAAACTAGAAAATAGTGAATTCCTCACATATAGTGACGACTTCTTTTTCCACCCGATTGACTCTCTCCAAGACATCAGAAAATCCCCTATCACCATCCCCTCAAGGATATCCTATGGAACGAGCAAATTTTCCTCCATTTCCTTGAGGAGGTGCATCAAGGATTTAGAAGATGAATGGTGTCCCTTAGTTACTGATACACCTAAATATATAACATTTATGTACATATTTTTTAGGATATTGTCTTTTAATGGAAGATATTTATGTGTTTTTCTTTCAGGTACAATCTAATGGATGAAATATGGTGAAAGAAGTGAAAAAGTATCAAATTTGGAGCAAAAATGAAAAAGGTATGAAATTGATATGTGGTGCCTAAGCGCTTAAGACTGATGCTTAAGTGTCAGGAAACAGTGAAGGTCGCGCCTAAGAGCCAAAGACCTCGCACTTAGGCACAGAGGTAGGTAAGAAAGAGAGGTGAAAGAGTAGATTAGAGGAGAGATAGAGAGAGATATATGATAGGAGATTGAGAGATTTTAACCCTCTAGGTTGGGTGACCAAACCTAGGGAGGATTGTAAGAGAAAGGAAGAGATTCAAAGGAACTTCAACAGTTTGGTGGAGAGAAATTTGAGATACGTTTTTATTTTTGTAACTACATTTGATTTTAATTTAGACTTGTTATGTTTTTACATGATTTCTACTTTTAAACTTAATTGTTGTTGTGTTTTTTCTATGAATTCTGAGTAGTTTTCTTTATTTTTTTTCTTAAAATAATAAGTAATTAAGTGGTGCAAGGAAATTGTGTGAAGTATTGATCTATAATGCTGGAATAAGTTGTGATGATTTAATTCTTGTACTTCATTTACTTCTTGATTTGACCAATTGAGATGTTAATATTTGATGTGAGAACATGTAAGATCCGTGATAGTATTGTCTCAGTTAACTAATGGTAGAATCACTTGAGATTGTATGGATGAGAATGTAATTCATATGGTTGAGTGTAAATAAATAGGGAAATAAACTTTGAAAGGTGTAGAGTTGAAGAATTTAGAGTGACAGGCTAAAACCTCCAATTCGGTATATTGTTTTAGGTCTTGATATGAGAAGATAGCCCCCAGGTGGAGGGAGAAAAAGGAACTCTAGAGTGAAAGTTTGTATCTTCCCTACCTAGCCCGTCTTAAATACTATTTGAACTTTAGATTAACCAATGTTCTTTATAGTATCTCAAGTAAATGTAAAGAATAATATTGCTCATATTTGGTACAACAAAATTTAAATACTTTCACAACAGAATTCTTATACTTGTTACCAATTCATAATAAGGAAAAAGATATTTTATTCGTATTGCTTTCATCTTACAAAAGTCTAGTTAAATGTAGTTAGTTGTTTACTTTATTTCCAATTGTCAGAAGTTACCAAAAAAGAATCAAACTTTCATTTCTACCATAATATCTATAGTTTGTGTAAGACTCTTTCTCAAAGTAGAATTTGTTGTCTAATTTCTTCTTAAGATTTTGTAGTTCTCCTTGTGGCTTCGATATTTCGAGGTTATGTATATGTATATATATGTATATATATATATATGATGAATAGTATTTTTAAAAAATTTAATTGACTACAAGCTAAAAAAATTTATAATAAATTAAGAGTATTAATTAAAAAAATAGAATAAAAAATAATAAATTAGATTCAAATGATACTTTATATTTGGCTCCAATCATTTACATCTTATGGCTACGTGATTAGGGTTGTCAAAAAGACTTGTTGGTGAACGGCTCCTTCGGCTTGCTTAAAAAACGAGCC